TACATGAACCACCATGGCGTTGGAAGTTCTATGGTGACGGACGTCGGCGCGATGTTCGTAGATCCTGGTGTTGAAGCCACGTCCCGTTTCACCATAGTATGTTATAGGTCTATAGGTCTATATAAGTACTTATATAGACCTTGATCGCAACTGCTGCAGGGTATGCGATATACTGCACAGTTGGGGTGGCTTTTCTGTTGTTTCTTTTCTCGTATTAGGTCGTGTATCTTTTCCCAGGATGTGCTGGCGATGTTTATTGTATTGCCAAAGTAATTGTAGATTTATAGTATTTTAAGATCCAACCCTGTGATGTCTTCTAATTTTCTTGTATTTCTTCCATGTAATCTCTCCCAGGCGATCAGCTCCCATGTAATATAAATATGTTGTGTATTCTCCCAAATGTATGTATTTCTGACGAAGATATAATCGAAACCGGTTACATACATCTCTTGTATTGTGAAGATATTCGTTCTCATTCATACCTTTCCACATTTGTCAACATGAATACGGTTCATGTATACATACATATAGGTATATATATATATATATAATATATATATATATATATATAAATATATATACATATGTAAGATAATATATATATATATATAGATAGATAGATAGATAGATAGATAGATGTGTGTGTGTATATGTATGTATGCATATATATACACACATGTGTATATATGATATGTATATATAATCTATTTGTCCATGTAATAAATAATATAAATAGTTATATATATATATATATATATATATATATATATATATCTGTGTGTGTGTACATATATATATATATATATATATATATATATATATATATATGTGTGTGTGTGTGTGTGTGTGTGTGTGTGTGTGTGTGTGTGTGTGTGTGTGTGTGTGTGTGTGTGTGTGTGTGTGTGTGTGTGTGTGTGTGTGTGTGTGTGTGTGTGTGTGTGTGTGTGTGTGTGTGTGTGTGTGTATGAATATATGCATATATGTCTTTATATATACATATATGTATATATGTATATATATGTATGTATATGTACGTATGTATGTATATTTATGTATATGTATATGTATATTTATGTATATACGTATATATGAATGTATGCATATTTGTATTTCATGGAGGGGGGAGGGGTACATGAAAGCCCTTTACATATATAAGTACTCAATTGTGTAAATAATGACTTTATGAAATACATAAACGTGTAGATATTCAAGGGTGAAGTTTTCATAAAAAGTTGAACTCTTTAAGGTGTCTCATCCTGCTTTCATCGTCTGCATTCGCTTCTTATGAAATAATGTCAACTTATCTCATATACTGACTTTGAAAATGCGAATTGATGGAGAGAAATGACGTTTTTTTTCATAGTGTCGAAAAAGATTTGGAAAGGAGACTTTTAATTGACTTTTAAAATGGGCCTTCGGGGTTAATCATAATTTTCGTCCGATTCCGTTGAAGGGATTTTATTATCCTCTAGTTGATGTTTAAATGCAGAATTTGAACGAACGTATTCGAAATATTTCACGCATAAAAAAATATTACACATAGAAACCATCTAAGGCATACAATTTCTATAATGGAGGGTTTGCATTTATCATTTCAAAAACCTCGTAAGCATTATTCATAAACAGCTGATCTGGCAGAGGCGAGGGAGGAGCAACCACGGAAGCCCGACCTTCATACATTTCTTCGTCTCTTTTGCTTCTAGTTCTTGTAGTTTCGCCGAAGTTTGACGTTTGACTTGATGTGACCAAGCTATGAGACTTAAGGTTTGTTCTTGCGCGTTGGAAGGGTGTGTTTGTCGCTAGGAATAAGGCAAAAAAGGGGACCAGAAATGGATTCCTTTCCTCTTGACGAGATTTCAGTCCATAACAAGTGATGTTATTTTTGATGTTCGTTTAATTTTGCGTTGTCCATGTGATTGAAACGTTATGTCTTTTCCAAGTCTGTCTAATTCTGAGCAAGATGAAGGTAAGATTGTCGTCATACAAGAACTTTTAATATTATTTAGAGTACTCTTTAGAAAGACAAATTCTGAGATTGACAGATAGTGCCAGGATGTTAGCTTTTCTGTTACATGTAATCATAGTCACTCTATCAGGCTGTATGGGCTAGAAAGAAGCAGCAGAGCTCATTTAATGCACTATGATTATTAATAGAGAGTCCTGAGTAATGGTATTTAGCATTGATTATACGAGAAGTGGTATTTGAACTCGAGAGCACCTGTTAAGAAAGCACCTGTTCACGGTCTGTGATAAATTTACTGTGATTTTGCTTGTCCTCTTGAGAGTTTTGTGCTTATTTGAGTGTTTTATCCTTGATATATCCATTATAGTGACAAAGCGCAGTGACAAACATGTTGGTTTTAAATATGTGTTACATGTTCGTATGTGGCTGTTTAACTGGGAAATGTTGGGATGATACACACAATGACTTTCTAGATGGGACTTTGTTCTTGTGGTTGAAGTAACTGAATGCATAGTTTAAGCTGTAGCAATTCATAGTCACTGCTAAACGATGTAAATATACTTTGCTATCACCTTTCAGATTCTAAGTCCCACTACATGTTCACCGTGTCAGGAATAACATAACCCTGACTGCTTAACTCATTACTGCGATGTCCGATGTAGTTCGTCTGTTGCTATGGACTTGTCAACATGATAGTTGGCCAATTATCAGTGTCTGCTGTTACACATTTATGCTTTTAAAGTCTCATATTAATTTTGTTATACTTCATTTATGTGTTTTAAGATTTATTATACACCCATCTAGAATTATCTGTGTCGTGCGTTTCACAATTTCATTCGCCAGTTGCGAGGTTTGACAGCTCACCAACCATTCAGTGACAGAATGCCGGTGAGAAATGTTGTGTTTCCAGTGTTTTGTTGATTCTGGGTTATTCTTAAGACTATATACAGTGGCAACGAAGAAGAAATAGACTTTAGTAACTCTCCCAGTTTGATATCTAGGCCCATCAAGAGCTCCAAATGCCGAAAAATGTTGAAATGTAATTGAAGCAATCCAGATGGTAGAAAGAAGCAAACAAAAGCTTAGCGTTTCCAGATATAAAGGTATTTGGTTTATTATTTTATGATCTGAACGCAGCTCTATCTTGCCATACATACTGAGGTGAAGAGACTGTTTCATGGGGGGTGTTGGTCCATCAGCCCTCCCCTCAAGTAGTTCGGGCAAGCCTAGTTACGGCAACTTAAATTGTTAGATTGGGTTGATTTACAGTTCAGTACGGTTTTGGGGGGTTTGGAATATCTGAATTCCAGTTGATTTTGCTGAAAGGTGGGTCGTATTTCTATAGATTTTTAAAATTTTGACACGGCAGTCCGTAGAATTTTAAAGGTGGCAGGCAATTCAGTAAAGTTTCATTGGCCGATGATTAAGTTTTTTGTGCTAGTTTTACGTATTTTTGTTAGCTATTCTTCTTATTTAATCATATTTTACCCCATAATTTCCCTGAGATGCTTTATGCCCTCCCCTGCTATTTGGACTAACAAATTAAGATTGTCGATGGAAAGGGTACTCAGATCTCCTCGATTAATAATTTTCAAAGAAACAACACCGAGAATCATTGAAATCAGATGAATATCAAAATTATTTTGAAAGAACTACAGATTGACTAATGCAACAATATTGCAACTATACCAGCAACAGCATCAAAAACAAATGCGGACAAGGGATCTGGGGCTAGTAGAGAAACTTGTTTGCGTGCGCGTCGTTGCAGCTACCTCTCATACAATTTATCATTGTTACCCATTGTTAAGCTACTGATCACTGTAAATTCTGCCTCAATTTTGTGTTTAGATATTCAACAAGAGGGCTGAATTTTGATTAAACTCTTTGGAGTTTGAAATGGCAAGGCCTACAATGAGAAAAGGCAAAAGAGTGTGTGTGTGTGTGTGTGTCAGTGTGTGTGGTGTGTCAGTGTGTGTGTGTCAGTGTGTGTGTGTGTGTGTGTGTCAGTGTGTGTGTGTCAGTGTGTGTGTGTGTGTGTGTGTGTGTGTGTGTGTGTAAATGGTATGATAACTTTGAATGTGTGAATTGTTTTTGTATACCAATGTGACAGCTATTATCAGCATAATTTGTTTACATGTAAAGAAGTTCCACCTACCTTTTTTTTTTTTTTTTTTTTTTTTTTTTAAGATAAGAAAACTAAACAGGCGTGATAATGAAAAATATTAATTTCTCTTATTTTTGAAGAAAAAAAAAGTTAGCCATCCTGTAGATAGTATTGTTTCGACAATAGATAAGTTTGTTTAATTTTGTAGGATAATAGATTTTTATTAGAAGTTTTTGAAAAGATGCCCAGTTCACTATTAGTTACAGAGTTTTGCTTCCTCTCAGATAATATGAGAGGGAGCAAAAGTGTTAGTCTTGAATTTGTAAGTATAGAAACAATAGAAAGCATACAGTTTCTGCTGTTGTATTGAGAATCGAGCACATGCTATCAGCGGTAGGGGCTTGAGTATTATCTCTGTTATCAGTTTGAATGGGGCAATGCAAGGAAGTAGCTAGGCAAGCATATAAACACCTGATGTATTGCCTCTTCTTTGTTGTATATATCATGTCTATATCTTTTTAAAGTTACAGGCTTTCAGAGATTTGGTGGAGGTAGAAAAGTAAAGAATTATATAAGATGAGTGTGAGACTAAGAGGGAATTAATGTTTTGAAAAGAAGGCTGATGTAAAGAACTTGCTCTACTCATGATATTATTATTTTGTTTTTCTTTCTTTCTTTTATTTTCATTATTATTTATAATGTTGGTTAATGCACTACTACTTGTGTGTTGGGGGGTGAGCACTGCATATGAGTATGTTCATTGTATATGTATCTGCTTTATCTCTATTCATGATTATGGTAAAGGCTATATTTGGTATATTATATAGTGTTTGTTTTGTAATGTAGTTTAGTGCGTGAAGTATTATTAATGGTTGGTATCTTTTATTTCTCTATTATGTAATTGCACCACACATTCATGCAATAACATTCTCA